CCGTGATTTGCTTAATGAAAGACACTTCTCCAGAAGAGTTTGGCAGACACAATCAGTTCGATTGCCAGGCAGTATTCATGTGATTACGAATGTTACTGATCACATTAGATACTCAATAAATCTCTCCAAAAAGATCGCAGCTACTGTGTGGCTCTGGAGAAATTAAAATTGCGATTCAGATTACTGTGTTTGCTGTGCACTGGACTATTGGTACCGTTGGGCACAAATACCTTCCCTGGGCTGCCAAGCACCAGTGACAACTGTTAATTGCTATATAAAGCCATAACTGCTTGTTTGTAAATGTTTAGCTATGCATCATTGCAAAGTAGCTTCCTTTTCACGTTGTGGCCATGTTCTACCATAAATACGTTAAAGAATTTGTCTTTCACAGATCTATGGCAATTCACACGTGCTGAGGGGTTGTCCTGAGAGTCCAAGGACCATTTTTGGCTTGAACTACCGAAAAAGGGAGACGTTATCCTTACGTAAAACCCATGAGTGAGACTTTGGCACTGTTTCTTCTGTTGTCATTTCAGCAGAGGCAATATTGCACACAGTAATGATAGAGCACATCAAAGCAAAAATGATCCAACTGGGCTGTACCTGTTTGGACAGAAGTTGTTTTCCTTGCAGTGTGGCCCAACCTGCACCCTGAACCTTCCTGTAATTTACTGAATGGCATTTGAAAAATGAACAAATGTCCGTTGGCCAAATCCCAGGGCTCGTTTCAGTGCATTGCATGAAAGCAATCACACAGGCCTCTCTTTTCGACTCTCAGGAGGAGGGTTTCTGTCTGAAAAAAAAGATGAAAACAAAGAACTGAATATATTGTTTTAAAAGAGTATATAATTGATTAGACCTAATCCCTCTGCATAGCTGTAGTCAAGATGCTTTGCTGAGTCAAAAATCACCGTTATTAGTGCTGGTTTTCATCCAGAAAAAGTGATTAAATAAGTCCATTCAGAACCAAGATGTATGGAGAGTTTTTTGATAGTTCCAATGTTTTTATTTTCACAGGTAACTTCTAGGGAGCGGGCTGTCAGATTATTAAAGTGGTCTTTATAAATTCTGAGCAAAATTCCCATTTCAGCTGCACTGCTCTTAATTCCTTTGCCACAATTGATGGCTTCCTGTTGACGATGTCAATATAATTTCACTACGCCCAATAGCGTATGTGGAGGAGCCGGTTGTGCCCCTGTTACCCTGCTGTTTCTCCAGGATAACTGTGATTTCAGTCTGGCTGCCGGTCTGTCCTTGCTGTCTGAAACTCATCATCTTCCAGGGCAGATCTAGACTTGGGTTTGTGGCTCCTACTTTAACCTGAGCTAATTTACTGCCAGTTCCCCTATTATCAACTCCATTTGGAGCCATGCCACCAGAACTGCATCAAAGCTTAAAAAACAGTCTCTAAATACATAATTTAAAATGGCTTGTTCTTGTTTTTGGAGTGTCTTAGTGGAAAAGCATTTCCAAGCTGTTTTTCTGTGTAAACAGGAAAAAAAACCATGAACTTCAGATCCTCAAAGCTATTTAATTGCATTTATTTAATTGCAATCAAATAACTTAAGTTTTCTGTGGGTCCCAGTGTCACTCTTTGAGAAACAAAGGCTGAATTTCTCAAATGGCAGTATCATTTCTGAAGCTGAGTCTCTTGCAAGACTCAAAGGAAAATTGCTGTTGCAAGCAATTCACATTAGGAAGTGCAATTGTGACTGAAGAGAAATTCCTTCCTGAGCATATCCTATAGGTTTTCACCCTGTGGTCCCTTAAGTAGTTTGTAGGCTGACTTTGAAGAGTTTCTTGAGGGGAAAAGTTACCAGGCTTAAATTCACCATGAATGGGTTACCCATCTGCACTGGAAAAAAATATTAAAGGTTGAAAACCACTTGTTAACAAATGATCTGAAAGCTCTGTGAAACAAGAAGCAATTCAGCCGGCTCGTGTCCCTCTGGCAGGGTGCCTCCTGGCAAAGGAAACAGAGCACAAATTCACAAGACACACGGTTTACAGAAGAGCAGCTGGGCACTTCTGCCTGGGGACCTGCTCCACCAGGCTCTGCCTCTGTCCCCAGCAGTTCCCGCTCTCTGCAACTCATTTCTTGCTCTCAGACCACAAGGTTTTGCAGGGAGAGGCTGCTTCAGAGGTGCTTTTCCCTCCTCTCCACAGCCCTCTATCCTTTGCAACTCAGACTTCTGTCATCCACCTCTGCACTAAAGAGGACGTGTTTACTTTCCTTGTCTGCTTTCACTTATCGGCTTAGTGCACCGGCAGGCGTTATTAAATGCTGCTCCTCACTCGTACAATGCGATCCTGGATGAGTGAATGCTCTCATTGTTGGGAGCCCAGTAGAAATCATAAAATCATCTTAACTTCAAACAGGCTTATTGGATTTCACTGTAATGCCACCAAGCTGTCACTGGTACCACAAACCCTGCCTGGGCATCACTCTTGACTGTTTACAGGCAGGAAAGGC